GTGTGTGTGTGTCTCAAAAATAAGTAAACATTAAAAAAATTTTTAATTAAAATAAGTGTCTCTTAATTTCCGCTCAGGTCATGATCTCACGATTTGTGAATGGAGCCCCACATCAGGCTCTGCACTGACAGCGAGGAGCCTGCTTGGGATTCTATTTTTCCCCCTCTCTCTGCCCCTCTCCTTCCTCTTTCTCTCTCTCTCAAAAATAAATAAATAAACTTAAAAAATAATAAGGAATTCTAGGGTTGATAAGGCGTAGAAATCCACACAACACCCCAGTTTTACAGACATTCAGCAACTTAATTCAACAAGTATTTATTGAGCCCTTGCTACTGGCAGGTGCTGGTCTGGGCTCTGGTAAAGATCAAAGGGCCTTGAGATGAAGAGGCATGTTAATGCAGAGGGACTCAGCTCTGGACATTCAGCCCCCAGGCTCTACCCTGAACAATAAGCTTTTCCATAGCCACAGAGCTGTAAATGTAAGACACATCATCACCATGATGCTCTGGGCTGGGCAGATGTGTCTGGGGCCCAGTCTGCCTATCAGCCCACCCCTCTCCTCCAGCTCTGGGATGAAACATACAAAGCTCTTAAGCCCTTGGCCAGAAAGCAGATTCTATCCCCACCCCCATGCACACACTCCAGGTCACTCACTTCCAGGGAAGAGCAGGGACTTAGAGAGCAAAAACCAGGGGAAAGTAGGGCACAGCAGGAGGATAGTAATCCCTCTGATGGCTGGCCATCACAGTTGGGCCCCTGCTCCTAGCCACCAATCAACAGTGGCTTTGAGAAGACTTTTGGGATTTGGATCCCCAGCATCATCCTGCCCAAAGTATGCCCAGGCTAGGTAAAGGGGCTGCCCCAAATGACATATCCTCCATGCTGAGGTCGTTCTTGGTCCAAGCTCTTATTGATATAACACTTTCTATGCTAGGCTTAGAGATTCTTTCATTCCACACACTTCTACAAGTGCAGCCTTTATACCCAGCCCCAAAGTGGGTGCTAGAGACATAAAGAATGAAGAATTCTCACCCAGACCCAAATAGTAGCAAGTCACTGTTATCAGTATTGAGACAGAAGACAGCCGGGGAGCTGTGTGGATCTGCAGGAGGCTTCTGATTCAGCTTGGAGTCAGGGTTATGAAGGAGGTGATGCTGAACAAGAAAAGGAGTTCACCAGGAGGATATGGGGAAGGGTATTCTGAGTACAGAGAATAAATGTACAAAGACCCAAGGGAATAAAAGGCTGGCATTTCCTTCTGGAAAATTCTGGTCAAAGGGGGGCAGTTGTGGGAGGAGTTTTCTCCTGATTTTTTCCCTTCAAGTCATGTGAGAAGATGGGTAATGACTGGTTGGGAGATAGAAGTGGAGATAAAAGTACAGGTGAATGAAGCACAGAAGTCAAGGTAGGGCAGAGATTGCTGATTGAGGTATCTGAGCTAACTGGAATGGGAAGGTGTTTGGGAAGCATGGATGAAGTAGGGCTCCTACATGTGAGGATGGAAGTCTCTGGAGGCACCTATCACCCTGGAGCCAAACAATGGTTCAATTAGGCCCGATTCTGTCCTGGGAACAATAGCTCCCCGGCATGGGCTCTAGTGTATACCTAGTCTGCCAAGCTCTAAATGCCAACCCTGATTCCTTTGGGCCCCTCTTGTAAAGCCCTGTCCCATTCAGCCCCATCCATTCTGACCTCTTCTATCACCCTCATCACATGCCTTCCCTGAAGGCTCCCCTGATGTCAAGGACTAGGTAGGCAGATCACTGCTCCATGCTCAGGTAGAAGGGAGTTGCAGGAGTGGACTGAAGCAACTGTGGGCAGAGCTGGTTTATGCAGGGCCTCGCAGAATGAGGGCCTCATAGAATGAAAAAGAGCTTAACATCAGAATCAGTTCTCAATTTTCAAAAATGGCAAATAAGGCAGAGGGAGTGTGAGCAGAAGTCAGTGAGTTCACGGCACTGCCCACACAAGTCATGCGGTGGTGGTGGGAGAGTGACCGAGAGAGGATCTCACCCTCTCTGAGGACCCCTCCTTCCCTCAGGATTCTGCCCATGCAGATTCTTTCTCTTCGCCAGAGTGGACAGGGGCTCCTCACACGCATGCTCATTCCATGCTTCCAGAAAGTCTTCTGGGATTGTTGACTTCACAATGCATACCTCTTCTCAAAGAACAAGCTTGAGTAGAGTCCAGAGGAATCCTCATTATGACCGCAGTTTCTGCAGCTCCAGGTCACCTCAGGGACTTGAATACAGACCCCAACAGGGACTCCCCACTTTCTGGAACAGGCTCCCCTCAAGTAGATCAGGACCCCGGAGAGGGAGAGGACAGAGCACTTAATCTGTCTTGAAGGCTAAGGTGGTAGTTAGCAGAGGGAGGATGAGGTGGTGGCATGGCAGGAATGTGGAGGCTGGAATGTGGGGATGGGGGTGGACTGGCTTGAGGAGCTTGGGGGTGAGGTGGTACACTCCACGCTCTCACCTTGCCTGTAAAGGCCAGGATATGAATGGCAGGCAGGGGTAGGAATGCCAGCCTGGGAGAATAGAGGAAGGCTGTGCATTCCGGTAGATTTCAGGTCACCACCAGAGCTCTTGGAACCTGCACACAATGGAAAGCTTTGCACAGCCAGCCCTGGGAAATGAGTGTCTGTAAGTAGAAAGATTGAGTCCCCTGTGGCAGCCATGGGCCCCACCCATCCAGTCCTAGGGATCAGCTTCTGGAGGCCTCCGCCCCAGCCAAGCAGGCTATAGCCAGAAGAAAGGAAGGAGCTTAGTACAAATATAAATGCCTTTAATGAAAGCCAAGGGCACTCTGCAGAGCCCCAGCAGCAGCCACCAGAGCAGGGTAGGAGGCAGGGGTGCCGCTACTCCACTAGACTGGCTAGGCCAGAGGCCCTAGGAGGCAGGCAAGTGCCAGAGCAGCTGCCAGCAGTGGGGGTGCAGGGGCTGGGCTATGTGCAGACCCTGTTGCCTGCAGTGTCTCCTGGTTGGTCTCAGGGCCCTTGCCATGCTCCCTAATGCGCACAGGGGTGCCACACAGAGCATGCAAGTTATCTGGGTGTGGGGCGCGGCGAGCTTCTTGCTGTAGTGACTCCCACACGGCGGCAGCCTCCTCCGGACAGCGCAATAGGACTCGGGAGGCACAGATGTGGAAGTCATTCCAAGACCTGTTAAAGGCTTGGGGTTAGGGTAATTAGGTGGGGCAAAGAGACTTTTCTAATGGGAAGGAAAAGGTTCAGGCCCCAAGGGCCTGGTGGTGGGGGTCTGGTGATCAGGTGGCTGTCGTCACACCTACCCTTACCTGCAGACAGACTCCAGTTCGCCTCCCAGGCCCATGCTGTCCCCCAAGCGGATGAGACATTCAGCAAAGCCCTGGTATATGGTGTCACAGCCCCCTGGGCCTGTTGCAGCTGCTGCCAGAGGAGATACAAGGACTAGGGGTGGGGGTGGAGAATGGTTGATAGCATGAGTCGCCTGGCTCCCCTTCCCCGCTAAGCCCCCAGGGGCTTGTTTACCTGAGTATGCTCTGGGGACGTGACTCAGCGTGAAACAGAGGCACCCAAGAGAACCAAGGGGCATGTCTGGTGATCACCTGCATTGACCGCCCCCCCTCTAGATGCAATGGGGACAGGATACGTAGAGAGGGGGAAGAAGGTGTCCCATCCCAAGGGGCTGACTCTTCCTCTGAGCTTCTAGGGCTGCAGGCCAGGTGAGGATGTTCCAAATGCAGGAGTCAGGACACAGAGAAGAGGGGCAGAGTCCAGGGCTATTGGGCTTCCTGAACTGTCCTGCAGCCTAGATAAGCTTCGCCTGACCTTCCCACCCCATCCCCAAAGACAGGTGTTTTCAGCCAGGTAGAACAGGATACAGGGGTCAGGATCTAGGTGAGACCCTAACAGAGGACCTCAGGGGTCCCACAGCTGGTCTAAGAGTCCCATCACAGCCTATGTCTCCATTTATCGGAAAGGGGGCTGTGGAATTTCAGGGTCCTTTCCCCACGACTAGGCCTCAGTTCATGCCCATTTTGCATCCTGAAACCACTGGAACACGTTATTCCTTCGCTGGAGCCCTTGCACCTCCTCTCCAGCGTGGTTCTCAGCACTCAAGGCTGTGCCTCTGCTCCCACACACCCTATACCCAGACTGGGGAGAGTGTGCCGCCCGGTTGCCAAGCTGGGTCTGGCACTCCCGCACTCACCAAGTGGTAGCAGCAGCAGCAACAGCCCCAGCACACCGGATGGTCGGGGCAGTCGCTGGCGGTGGTGACAGGAGGAGTAGCTGCGCATCATCCCCGGCTGGGAGCCTAGTGCCTGAGCTAGCAGCTTGGAAGCGCAGCCCTTCGGCCCAGCCTCCGGAAGAAGGGCCTGTGATTGGATGGGAGTCGGGGGCGGGGCCCAAAGCCAGCTGGCGGCCCCACCCCAGTAGGGAGATAGGCAAAGGCGGGTAGGGACCAAAGAGAGAAGAGCTGGGGACACAGGCATTGCAGAGCTGACCCCAGGGCCCTCTCTCAGAGATGGAGAGGGGTTTCTGGGAAGAAAGTTGCGCAGATGAGGGTGGGTGTCCAGGCACCTGGGTTAGCCTAGACAGAACTCCACACAGGGAGGAGACGGAAGAGAGAACAGAGGCCCTTATCAAAATTACACCAAATGCACACACATGCTCCATTTTATTCCAAAAGCATTTAATTGAATTTCTCAACATTTTTCAAAAACAAAAAGATCCAAATCGGAGGTAAAAAGGAATATGGAAAATTCAACTCAAGTGGTGTCACGATCTCAGGGGTCATGCTCCAGGCATGGAAGAACCCAAGAAGGCACAATACCCACCCTGGGCCCAGCCAAAACCTGCTGGCTACCACAACCTGTAGACCACATCCAGTGCTCTCCCCTCAAACACCCCAGAGGTGGGAGCCTAAGCAGGTAAAAGGACAGACACTAGCCTAAGCCTGTGTATTGGCCTTCAGTGCCTCCCCACCCCTGGGCAAGGCAGGCTTAGCTAAGGGAGGCTAGGGGTTACAAGGCCGTGCAGCATGAGGCTGAGACGCCGGGCCACTTTGCCAAGTGAGTTGTGCGGCTCAGCCTGCAGGAACTGAAAGAGCTTCTGGCGCACCTGGGCCATGACGGAGCCCATGTGGTCCCGAGTGATGGGGTCACTGTGGTCCAGGTGCATCACAGCCTCTTCCAGGTAGCTGTGGTGGAAGAAAGGGACAAGATACAGGTGGGTTCCAGCAAATGGGAGTGCCCCCTAGTGGCACTGAGGCCCAGAGGGACGGCTGCGGGGGGTGGGGGGGGGGGGGGGGGGTGGGGAGGGTCCTCAAAGCCTGAGATGGGTGGGAACAGAGGTGGAGAAAATTAGGAAGCAGAGTCAGGCAGAAGTCTCTGCTTTGAACTGCTCCCCCACCTTCACCCCAGCCTGTCTCCTGACCTGAGTCCACTCACCTGAGCTTGAGGTCAGTTCGAGTACCAAGGTCAGAGGCCAGCTGCTGGATGAGGGAAAGGAGCACAGGCTGGGAGAGTGGGCAGGGTGGCTGCCCAAAAACCTGCCCTGGGTCCACAGTTTCACACACATACAGCACCAGGTTCAGGTCAGCAGCCGTCAGGGCCTAGGGTAAGAACAGTATTTATAGCTAATGTCAGAATGGAATACCTACTTGTCTGGCTGTGTGGCCAGGGAAATAATGACCAGGGTAGGGTACCGAGGGCTCCAGAGGGGGATGCTCAGGGGCCCAAAGACAGTAATATAGGGGTGTGTTGTTACTTTAAGAGATCAGGAGAGGTTTCCTAAGAAGGGTGGTCATGAAGCAAGGTAGACTGAGGTAAAAAGACCCTGGAACCAGGCAGAGAAGTAGGGGGAAATGGCCAGAAAGGCCAAAGAGAACCAAGAACAGCCTGTTAGGGTCAGACTACCCAGAGCCTGACAGGTAGAGTATGGTGTGTGGGCCTTGTCAGGAAACACCTAACCCCTACCTGGACCTAATGCCTGGCGTACCTGCTGGAAGGCCTGATTGAGGTGGCCCTGCTGCAGCAGCTGTAGAATATGGGCTTGCTGGGCCTGGCAGTCGAGGTGGGCAGCGGGGACAGGTGTGCCAGCTGCTGAACGCATGGCCTGCATGATGCTAGACGTGACGGCGGCCTGTTGCTCCTTAAGTGCTACACTCACCTCACCTTTAACGATGCGCTGTACCTGTGCTAAAATTGACTCCTGCAGGCTGCAAAGGGAAGTGAGGGAGATGAGGTAGATAAGAAGTCCCGTCTGGCACTTTCAAAACACACCACCTTGCCCAGCACCCTGCCCACACACCTGCCCACAGCCACGTGCAGCTGGTGCTGCACCTCAGCCCGAACGCTGCTGGATACAGTGGCTGCCATCTGCTCAGTGGCACCCTGCAGTGTGCTGACCAGGCCTCGCAGCTGGGCCAACACGGGCTCCCGTGCTTCCTGTTCTCGTGCCTTCCGGCTCTTCATGTGGCTCTCTAGCTGCTGCAAGTCTGAGAGGTCACCATAGGGGCCATGAGAGGGATGGTGGGGGAGAGGAGGCCAGCCCCTCCCACCTTGAAGCATATGACCCCACTCACATTCTTGCGTGCCCAGTCGGAAGCTATCATTGATCTGCTGGAACATGGCCTGGCAGCTCTTCTCAAAGGCTGGCAGTACCACGCTCTGGAAGGCTTCACGGTAGGCAGCCTGCATTGGCCCCTGTAATGTGTCTGCAGCTGCTCGGGCAATGGCATCTGTCAAGTTCTGGGGGAAGAGGGAAGGCTGAGTTGAAAGGCTGAGCCCAAGTTGGCCTGACCTGGCCCACCAACCACCAACCTGTCATCTGGGGCCCTACAGCACCTTGGACTTTAGTAGCTTGGAGATATTCTCTTTCATGCTACCCTCCACAGCTGTGAGCTTGGTGGCCACTGAATTGCTCAGTTGGCCTGCCACTGGCTCCAAACTCCTGGAGACACCTGGGGCAGGGTGAGGAGGAATAGGTAGAGCCATGAAAGGCAGCTTGACAGATAGGAAGGCCCACTCCTACCTGGCCCACCCAGAGTCTCCACACAAAACTCACATGGAGGCACTGTCTTCTTGATCTCATCCCGTATGCTGCGCTCTAGCCGACCAGCTATAGCTGAAGACAGTGCCTGGGACAGCTGTTGCGTCAGCTGCTCCTGCAGCTGCCCACCCCGCTGCTGCCCCTCAGCCAGTGCCCGCTCCAGCCGCCGCTCTGCGTTGTAGCTAAGGAATAGGCCTGAAGCGGGTCCTACATCCCTTCCTGGGGCCAAGAATGCTGCTGCTTCAACCGACCCCTGTGCCATGCCACAACCCATAAGGATACGGTCTTGCTCATGCCGTGACTCTAGGGCGCGTTCTACGTGGCCCGTGACTGTGCTCTGCAAGCCTTCAAGTTGGGTGCAAAGACGCTGCAGCAATTCTTCCTGGCTGTGCCGCAGCTCTGCCAGCTCTCTCTGCTGTTGCCAAATTAGTGCTGGCCAGTCTTCAGGAGGTTCTGCCACCTGCCAGAAGCACTGACAATCAGGTGATGCCGCCCCATACATTCTCACCCACCTGACCAGGGAATGGCCCAGAGCCCTTCCCACCCTCACATGGAGGATGCTCAGAAATGGAAAAGGTGTTACTTCACTTACCTGGTGCTCCATGAGCCGGGATCCTACGGCTGAATCCCTGCCATGGGCAAGAAGCACCTCAGGCTACGTCAGGCACGGCAGCCTGGGGACCACCCCTCTCCCTGGCCCCAGGACCCCACCCCCTACCCGTCATCTTTCTTGCCCTTTCTCTTAAGCTTGGGTGAGGCTCGAGGAGATCCCTTGGTCTTCCAGTCCTTGGCTGGCAGCCGTGGAGTGGGAACTTTGGTGCCAAAGCCCCCTGCAGCAGAGGCAAGGCTGGCCACTTCATCATCGTGGTCACTGTAGGAAGGGGAAAGAGAAAGATAAGCACCTACCCACTTGCTGGCTCTCCCTATGAGAGGAATAGTGTAGGGTGGCACCTACCTTTGCTCAGCACTGGCATCCTGGCTATCATGTTGCTGCAGGAGGTGATAAGGTGGTCGATGGAAGGCCAGGCTCTTGTGCTTCTCCTGGAGGCCATTCCTGGGACTGAAGGAACAGGCCGACTCAACAGTGCATGACTCTATCTGAAACCCCTACCACCAGCACACTTTGTCCTGCCAGGCTCCTCACCTCTCTGCCAGGCTGCTGCAGGTCTCACGAGTAATGTCTGGTGCTGTAGGCCAGACCTGATTGTCAGGGGCTGTGGCTTCCTGGGTCAAGGCTGCCTCCAAAAGGGAAGGGGTACTATGCCGATCCCCATCCCCAGGGCCTCCATCCAGGCCAAGCTGAGAGCCAAGCTCAGACGCTGGCCGGGGCCGTGGGGACAGCAGGTGTAGCGCTGAGGCAGCCGAGGCCATACTATCTGGTTCAAGACCCTCAGGAGCAGAGGAGACAAAACCACGGGAGAGGGCCTCAGATGCAATCTCAGGGATGTCCTGGGACAGGGCAGTGGAAGCTGAGGAGATAACATCAGGGGAGCGGGTACGGCTAGGGGAAGCCTGGGGTAGCCCCAGGGGCTCCACTTCCTGCAGCTCCAGTGATAGTGCAGAAGCAGCAGTAGGCACCTGAGGTGGAGCAAAGATGGGACTTAGGTGGTGGGTCGTGGGGATGGGAGAGCACAGAGATGAGGCCCTGACGTTTGTAGAGATGAGACACTGCAGTGGGGGATGCAGATCAAAAATCCCACAGCCCGGGAGGGGAGGAGATAGGAAAATAGGCTATGGGAGGTAGAAATATAGGATATAGGTTGAGAAGTTGCCCTCCAGGGAACAGGGAAGGCTGGAATGACCTCAGGGAAAGGCCTCAGGCGCTATGGGAGTAGAGTGCCACCAAACTTCCCACAACCAGATACCTGCCACCCTGCACTTCATACACACTCCTACACACACACCTGTCCAGGTGCTTTGGGAGTCAGTTTGTCAGCTGGACCTGGGAGCAGGCTAGGCAAGAGGCTACGCGGGCTTGCCTGCAGGCTGCTGCTGCTGCTCATTGTCAAACTGCCATCCAGCTGCAACTTGGGGCTCAAAGTCAGCTCCTCGGGTGGCCTGGTGGCAGGAAGGCTAAGGTATAGCAGCCAGAGTTTGGTATCACCTGGCACCAGCCCCTGCCATCCCCCAACCCTGAGCCTCGCTTCACCTGGGCAGGGAGGGATCCACAGCTGAGGTACTGCTCATGGCAGACACAGCTGTAAGAGAGGAGGAGCTGGAGCTGGAGCTGCTGCTGCTGTTGCTGTTA